AGGTTTAAAAACAAAAGAAATCCTGTGATTTGTGACAACATGGACGACCCTGGAAGACAAATACCTCAGTACCTCACTTACATATCTAACAGCAACAACAAAATATCAAACTCGTGGCCAGTTGTGGTGGTTCACACCTGTAATCCCAGCACTTTGGGAGGCTGAGGCAGATGGATCGCCTGAGGCCAGGAGTTTGAGACCAACCTGGCTAACATGGTCCTACTAAAAATCCAAAAAATTAGCCGGGCATGGTGGTGGGCATCTGTAGACCCAGCTATTCGGGAAGTTGAGGCAGGAGGTGGAGGTTGCAGTGAGCTGAGATCACACCACCGCACTCCAGCCTGGCAACAGAGTGAGACTCGATCTCAAAAAAAAAAAAAAAAAAAAATTGAACTTGTTAAAATAGAGTGTGGAATGGTGCCTGCTTGGAGGTTGGAGAGATGGTCAAAGAATATACAGTTTTAGGAGGAAAAAGTTCAAGAGGTGTATTGTACAACATGGTGACTATATTAATAATAATGTATCATATTTTGAAAATTGCTGAGAGATTTTAGGTACTCTCACCACACAAATGGTATGTGGGGTAATATATATGTTAGCTTAGCTGATTCATTCTGCAAGGAACATGTATTTCAAAACATGTTATACACAATAAATACACAACATTTTGTCTATTTTAAAAACCCAGCAGACCGGAAGTAGTTCCTTTCACTGAAGTTCTACAGATAATTTTGTTTGAGGGTGCTTTCCTTTGATCTCCAGGCTTTTATTGATGTTTTGGTTGTTGATTGTAGCAGTTCATTTTCTTAAAGCTGCCCCCTCTTAAATCTTGAAATCTGATGGATAAAATGAAGGAGGGAAAAGGAAAGAGTAAGAGGTAAGGAGGTCAAGAGGATAAATGAAGTGGGATCAGGCTGAGAGGGAATCTGGGTGGCTGTTAGTCTGCAGGTTAGCATTCTAAGGGCCGTTCTGTGGTTTGAATGAACAACGATGGCACCTCTGGAAACCTGGTCTGTGTTTGTGTGTGTGTGTGTGTGTGTGTGTGCATGTGTGTACACTCAGAATTCAACATTAGTCTCCTCCTTCCTTCCTTGTATTTAGGGTTGCCTTTGTTCCCCATTAATGGAATCAAATGACACATTCACAGTGTCTTATCTACGTGGTTCCAAAGTCAGTATGACTGATCTAACATTTTTGACGTTGCTATTCAGGCCTTTTCAACCTAAAGAGACTGAGTCTACCGCTGCCTCTCTGGCAGAGAAATCATGTGTTCTCTCTAACCCAGGTCTTTAGATGTAGAAGAACTGGTAACTGGGAGGTCAAGGGCTCAGTCCGTTTTTGTTTCTCAGTAAGTCTAAAAGGTTTGTTGTCTAGTATCTGCACAGACCTGGGGAGGGATTGGGATTATGAGTGGAGAGAGTGACTCAGTGACCTCATTTTTTTTTTTTTTTTTTTTTTATCGAGACTGAGTTTCACTCTGTTGTCCAGGCTGGAGTGCAGTGGTGTGATCTTGGCTCACTGCAACCTCTGTCTCCCAGGTGCAAGCGATTCTCATGCCTCAGCCTCCTGAGTAGCTGGGACTACATGTATCTAACACTGTGCCCAGCTAAGTTTTTGTATTTTTAATAGAGACAGGGTTTCACCATGTTGGCCAGGCTAGTCTCAGACTCCTGACCCAAGTGAACCACCTGCCTTGGCTTTCCAAAGTGCTGGGATTACAGGTGTGAGCCACCGTGCCCAGCCTCAGTGCCCTCTTGATTTCTGAATTTTCATGCTATTGGGGCTGTCCCTCTGACTTGGCTTTTGGGGTGTAGGTGTGATGTGAATCCTCTGTAGCATTCCTTGAGCATCTCGCTAGGGTTTTGCCTGACTGCCCTGAGAGCATTCTAGCTGCATGAAGTCCTCATCTGTTTCTTCCATTCTTGTCCCTTCCGAGGGAAGGAATTAAGGAAGGAATGAGAGAGAAAGTCCCTGGAGTCAGGCTGTGGCCTTTCTCCCCCAGCTTCCCCCTGCCTTTTGTCTTAGCCAGAGTCCAGCTACTGGTCTGCGAGTTGTTCTGCAGATGGCTCAGCAGCAGACATCCAGCTGGGCTGACTTAACCCACAGAGTGTTTGTGTTTGACAGCCAAGACAGGGAGCAGAGGAGCTGTTTTCATTGGGATCAGGCTTGGGTGTTTCTCCAAAGGCAGTTGCTTGAATGGCTCTGCTGCTTTGTGGAGCCATCAGGCCATGAAGGGAAGTTTGGATGAAGGACAGATGTATTATCTAGGAAGGAGTCCTGGGTCTTCTTCCAAAAAATGTTCAGCCATTGCCTGTGCTAGCAAATGAAATGACGCCCCCATGTTGTGTTTATGTAAAGACTATTCCTGGGAAAGGGAGAAAAACCCCTGACATTAATCCTCCTTTGCTCTGAAGCAAGTAACAGGTGTCCGTTGATACCCATTTTGTTTTATTTTTGAGACAGAGTCACCCAAGCTGTGGTACAGGGGAGCCATCATGGCTCACTGCAACCTTGACCTTGCAGGTTCAAGCAATTCTTGTTCCTCAGCCTCCTGAGTAGCTGGAATTACAGGCATGTGCTACCACACCCAGCTAATTTTTGTGTTATTATTTTTTTTGAGATGGAGTTTCACTGTTGTTGCCCAGGCTGGAGTGCAGTGTCATGATCTTGGCTCACTGCCACCTCCGCCTTCCAGTTTCAAGCAATTCCCCTGCCTCAGCCTCATGAGTAGCTGGGATTACAGTTGCCTACTACCACGCCTGGCTAATTTTTGTATTTTTAGTAGAGATAGGGTTTTGCCATGTTGGCCAGGCTGGTCTGAAACTCCTGACCTTAAGTGGTCCTCCCACCTCAGACTCCCAAAGTGTTGGGATTACAGGCATAAGCCATCACAACTGGCCGATCCTCATTATGTAGATGAGGAAATAGAGGCTTTGAGGAGTGAAGGAGGTCAGTGCTTCTCAAATTTAAATGTATTCATGAAGTGCCTAGGGATTTCGTTATGATACAGCATTCTGGAGGGGAGACTTGGAATGCTATTTCTTTTTTTTTTACTTTGAGATGGAGTCTCGTTCTGTCACCAGGCTGGAGTGCAGTGGCATGATCTCGGCTCACTGCAGTCTCTGTCTCCTGGGTTCAAGCAATTCTCCTGCCTTAGTGTCTTGAGTAGCTGGGACTACAGGTGTGTGCCACCACACCCAGCTAAGTTTTGTATTTTTAGTAGAGACGGGGTTTCAGCATGTTGGCCAGGATGGTCTCAATCCCCTGACCTCGTGATCCAGCCACCTTGGCCTCCCAAAGTGCTAGGATTGCAGGCATGAGCCACCGCGCCCGGCAGGGACTCTATTTCTAACATGCTTCATGGTGGTACTAATGCTGTCAATCTCTGACACATATTGGGAGTTTCTAAGATGTGGATTATCTAGGCATGCCGTGCGTTCGTGAGAAATGTATTAGATAACAGCACTTCCCTATGGTCTCAGGAAGCAGAGCCATATAGTTTTCTACTCAAGGCTGTATCTAAATTATTTCAAAACAGTTAACCTATGAAGCATACCACTTACTGGTTGTTCTGACAATAGGGCATAAAACCAGAATGATAGGTTTGAGTTTTAGCAGAATTAGCAAGTTAGGCTGGTTTCATGCACCCATAACTATAGCCTGCCTTAGATAGCAGAGGCATACATGGTATCCAAGCATCAGAAACTCAGTAGTGCTTAGAACAGAAGGCACTTACCAGCTTATACATTTTTGTTTCATTCCAAGTAAAGCCCATAAATTGTGTGTGTTTGTAGGTCCAGTGTTGCTCTAACTCCACTTCTGTTGACTATTTCCTTCTAACATGTAATCAGAGAAGAGTTGGCAAAAGGCAATCTTTCCCATGTGCTGCTACTCACAAAGATTTCCCAATTTGGTGATGACTCACACATCTGCATGGAAAATATGCTACTACCCTCAGCTGCAGTAGTTTATGCCTTTCTCTCCTCTGGAATGATTACCCAGAAGTATGTAATAGTCACCTAATGGGGAGCAGGTGTGAGAAGAAACAGTCATTTTGAACAAAGGGAATGGATGTAAATTGCAGCATGAAGGATTTAGGTTAGATATCCATGTGTGGGGAGAATTCTCTTCTGCCAGCAAGAGGAGTGAAACATTGGGATACAGGATGAAAGCAGAGTTGTGGCACATTCTCAGGGCATTTGAAAGAAAAGGCCAGGTGGTTTCATTTCAGTGCTTTCTGCACTGCTCTCTCAGAGGGAGGCGAATGAATTCTGTAATGGCTGGGGATCATTTTCAGTTCTGTGATTCATGAGCACCGAGATCTGGGGACATCTGATTAAAAACCATGTCAAAGAGCCACATATTCCAGCGGTCCTTTCTGATCATCCTGATTGATACTGGGGTGTCATTTTTGGCATGGTGATGGGGGCCAATAAGTATTTGTTAAGACCGGTTCTGTATAAAGTCTTTTTCTTTGATTTTTTTTAACCTACATCTTCACTGTAATAGAAATTGTCTTTCCTAGGGGTTCAAAACATATTGCAAGTAGAGTATCATCTGGAATGCTCCAGAGACCCAAAAAGCCGTCTGACATTCTTTCTCTCCATATTATTTGGCATTGTCCAACTTTGAACAGTCTGTACAATTGTCCTTTATTTTCCTTTCTAATTGGAATTTCAACAAGGAATGCCTATAGGCATTGACTGCCTTTGCTTCAGATGACTTGGTACACCAGGCAATGATAAAGGATGCCCATTCATTGGCCCAAAATTGCTACACTGCCATCATTTTTGGTGTGATACCATATTAAAACTGATGTCTTGAGAGATGGTTTTTCCCAGCTTTTTGGAGGATCCTGAAAATAAAGTACTACATGCCTTCTAAGTGGTGAATGATATCTTCTTATAAACAGCGTCAAAAGCTCACACACGTACACATTCCTGCAAAAATCACACAAAGATGAGAAATGGGCATTTGAGTTTCTATTGGATATTTTCTAGATCCGTGATGCATGAGGTCAGCAGCAGTGTGTGTGCAGTGAAATTCACAGCAGGCAGATGGGAACGTGGAGAAATTCTATAAACCTTCAGAAGCTAGACATTGCCAACCTCAGGAAGGTAAGTAGGCTTCCAGCTTCTCAAAGTAACAATGAGGAAGGTGGAAACAAGAAGATGGGGAACTTGATAATCAGCAATGACAGGCCTACATTTTCAAGATTGTTGTGTGTGGGGATTTATGTACTCAGATTCCGTACCTTTTTTCTATTCTCTCTATTCATATCACAAAATCAATCCCTTCATGAGCTGACTAATCAGTCAGTCAGGATCTCGATGAGAAAACTGGATTCTGCCGTGCTAATTGTTCTTGATTATTAAATCCAAGTTAGCGAAAACTAAGCCAACACAACAGTTTATTCTTAACCTCTCATCTGATTACTAGACCAGTGAGATGGGTTCGTATTTGGAAAGAAAGATGAAAACTTCGTCCCTAGAACATTTTTCTTATTCTACAAAGTCCTAGCAATTTGGGCTTCATGGATCATTACATTTCAAAATGTTGCCCATTGAGATTTTTCCAAGAAAGATGTGTCCCAGTGAAAAAGCAAAACCCAGAAAGCAAACAGAAAATAAATCAACTGTCACTCATTGTAATCATCACTTCATAAAAGAGATTTGAATACTGAAAGTATAGGAAGGAGATAATCTTAGAATAAACAATTATTGTCTGCATGTTAAACAAATTTCGCTTTGTGGTAACTTGGTGAGACTGGTGAAAATTTCATCATGGAACAGCCCTGGCCAACTGATTGGGATTTGGGAACTCCTTCCACAAAATCAGCTGCTTTTTCAGTAGTCCGTTTGCTTGAGGGGTTGGGGTGATTTCTGAAGATCCCTTGGACTTCATTGGTGATCTTTGCTGATGAGACAGATATACTATCAAAAACTAGAAACATTGGAATGCTTTTACAGAATTGTTCTCATAAATGAAAGTCCACATCATCTTGACTGAGCCATGCTTGAAGAATTTCCCAGTACCCAGCTTATTGTTTTATTGTTTCCCTAAGATATAGTAATTCTATGGCCCTTTAAAATATAGAAATATTGGGAGGCTGAGGCAGGAGAATCACTTGAACCTGGGAGGTGGAGGTTGCAGTGAGCTGAGATGGCGCCTTTGCACTCCAGCCTGGGCAATAAGAGTGAAACTCTGTCTCAAAAAAAAAAAAAAAAAAAAGAAAAAAAAATACACACACACACACACACACACACACAGAAAGATGACATAACATGGTTTTCTGAGGAAGTCACATTGCATCAAGTCTCAACTTCTGTGTTTTGTCGCAAATATGAGATGACTTAGCTATTTCACTGCGGAAACTTATGTGTCATAATGCTTGAAATCAGAGATCTTCCTATTCCTATTTTATAACTCCCAGTTTTAATTCATAACTCCTCTTACTCCTGTGTAATGTGTAAAGCTTTCTGAACCATGAGGAATTGGTTGAGAGGAAATGAAATGAATACCAGTACTGAGGACTGAGAACAAGTTATAAATACCTAGACCAGTCCAAGAGTTGTATACGTACTTTCCATTTTATACTGCACTTATGTATAGTAGTCTAATTTTTCACCTAGATTTTGTGTTTGGAAACAAATGCTGAGGATGAGGTGAGTGTCCCAGGACCAACCTCCATGTCAGTGTTATAACCATTTGTAGCAATTGTTTTGCGTAAGAAAGACTGAGCCTGACTCAGTAGGAATCGCATAGCGTGGTACAGGAGGGGAGACCTGAGGAGCGTTTTGTAGGGAAGTGGGGGTGGGGAAGGGCCCAGGGAGGGATTCAAGTTGAAACACAGATGTCTGAGAGAGGGTATAACAGAACCCAGAAGTGGAAAATTGAGGAAGATGACAGAGTTGAAAGGTACAACAGTATTTCAGATAAAACTTTATGGATTTCCTTCCAGCATTATATGGATTGCAGTTGGAGCAAAGTCATTGGTTTTGTGTATAATGGGTTCCACAGCCGTTAGGAGATGCCAGATGTGTGTGTGTCTTGTGTTCTTTGGATAGACAGTGCTAATGAGAGCCTGCACATGCTCACTTTCCTACATTTGCAATCAGCTACAGCTTTATGGGGTGCAGGCCTCATAAGGGCATCTTCTGGGTTCACTGAAACAAGGACTCTCCTGTTATGCGCTGTGAGAATTTGGCCAAGAAGATATTGCTTAAGGCATTTGCTGAGTTAAATATTACATAGGCATTACTCAGAGAGAGCCTGCTCCGGTTTCAGGCTTAGAAGCCTGGAAACTCTTTTGTCTTGATTCAACCTTTAAACTGTATACTGCATTGGCTTAAAGGAAAAATAGGAAGGTCAAGCATGGTTGAGTTGACCTTAAAGGAGTAAACAATTAATCTAAAGATCACAGTGTAGTCCTTTTATTAAGCTCATTTTTGTTTGCTTTTGTTTTTTTGGGCCAGCCATTCTAAGGCGTTAAAGTACTTGGGTCTTGGTAATACTGTTTCTTTTCTCCACTTGTGTTAATACAGATATTAAGTCTAATAGTATCTACTTAGCATAAACAAGAAGATAAAAATGATTTCTATGATTGAAATGTTTGTTATTTAGCATTAAGCATCTTCCTACTCCCATGCGTTTCGCATTTTAATCCACTCAGTGCTTGGTTTGGGGATTGCTAGATTAGTTTTAATCCCCTGTCTGATAGTGGAGTAGTGGTGAGATTTATTGCACAGGCAGGGTTTGGTTCTTGGATTTAAGAGGGCTCACGTGCACTCTTCATGCATATTAAATTTGGGAAACCACCGGTTCAGTATAAAAGGTTGGGGAGACATCCTTTATCTCAGAATGGTTCTCTTTGGGCACACAAAGTGCAAGCGGCATTTATTGCATTAATGAAAAGAAAATTGATTACAAGTGTTTCTCTCTTTTGGGGTCAGACTAATGTTCTCAGAATCTGTTCTTTTTTGTTTTTTCTTTTTCCTCTTAAAATGTGCTTAACCATCATTTCAAAGAGTTCTGCATGTTTTCTTATTTCTTGGGAGCCCAGCTCCGAGGAAAAGATAAATACTTTATTATTTAATGAGTTCTTCCCAAGAAAAATGGGAAGGGTTAAGTACTTCCCAACCAGGGGAATAAATATTTTCAGAAACCACAGAAAAATAGGATAGTTCACTGTTCTGGGGAACCTAATAATAGCCAAAATTTCTGCAAACTGATGGAAAAACCTTTTGTTTTGAAGGTTGGAGGTTTATTATTATTTCAACATTTTCTCTGTTTCATGTGATGTGAAAAGCAAAAATATAAGATTCTCATTAATGGAAAACTTAAAATCAGAATACTGTGGCTTTTTTGTGATGAATGAATAAAAGAAATGCCAGAGCATAACTTCTGTGTGAGAGTAAATTTTCTTCCTTTGCTCCTCCTAAGTAATTTCACCTTAGGGAAAAGAACAGGATGCATTGTGTAGAACCCGATAAATAGATGCTGGGAATGACTTGGGTTATGAAGTGGAAATTCAGATATTTATGATGTCAAAATACCATCCGGTCTTTTGAATGAATCTTACCCACAAAACTTGAACTTGCATGTGATGAATTTAACCTGTGACCCACGAGATCTTATTTAGTTTGTATTTCAAGGCTATTTGTCTCCCTATTAAGGTCTGATTTTCTAATGCAAGTAGTCAGTAGTCGCTCAATAAAAACAAGGAGATGCAGAAATGAAGTCAAAACAGGTCAGCTTAAAAAGCCATATTTTATTTTCTTCACATTATTCTTTTTGGAATTTTTTAAAATTTTATTTTAGGTTCTGGGATACATGTGCTGAACATGTAGGTTTGTTACATAGTTATACATGTGCCATGGTGGTTTGCTAAACCTGTCAACCCGCCATCTAGGTTTTAAGCTCTGAGTGCTTTAGGTATTTGTCCTAATGCTCTCCCTCCCTTTCCTTCATGCCCCAATGGGCCTCGGTGTGTGATGTTCCCCTCCCTGTGTCCATGATCTGGAACCAGAGACACCATTTGAGCCAGCAATCCCATTACTGGGTGTGTATCCAAAGAACCATACTTTAAATTAACAAAACCACATTTCTTCTTTATGGTTTGACAGTTCAAAAGAGCCTTCTGTGTTCTTTAATGTTTCTTTCAAACTTTGGCTTTTGGTTGTGTTTCCAAATTGATATTTATTAAATCTGTTCAGTGCTAGCTGTGAATATAAGTAACTCAAAGTTAGTGTGATCAGTTTCCTTGAGAGAAAAGAACAAGAAATAAACACATTCTCTTGGAATGTTCTGAATGCTATGATTTGAAATCCCGCTGAACGTGACTTTTAATATATACAGTTAATAATCTAAATAAATGAACCTTATAGTAATTTCACAAAATTTGGACCCCAGTCCAGATTTTTAACATCTCTAAGTATCAGGTGTAAATAAGCTGTTGAATTGGATACCCTCTAGGGTACCTTTTGGCTCCAAGGTTCTGTGATCCTTTGAGCTCATGTCAGACAGAAATCTACAAACCTATTAACTTTCTGTTTTGAAAACTCAGCTAAGTTTTGACATATTGCCTTCATATTGAATAAAACATTAATATAATAATACTTTCTTTTGCATTTCATCTCCATCCAAACGCCAACTCTACGAGGGCAGGCACACAGTTGGTCTTTTTCACTGTTGCTTTCTTAGAGCTTGGAATTGGTCTGTGACATGTCACATTTAATAAGTGAAAAAAATTAATGAATTGATTGATCTATAGAGAAGAGATGCTCCAGTCTGAATATTCCTTCTGAATAAATTCTCAGACAACACTTTCTTGTGTATAATCATGTGCCACATGATACTTCCTTCAGCAACAGACTGGATATGTGATGGTGGTTCCGTAAGATTATATTAGAACTAAAAAATTCCTATCACCTAGTGGTATCTTAGCCATCCTAAAGTCGTAATGTAGTGCATTACCTTTGCTATGTTTAGATAAACAAATATAATTATTTTACAGTTGCCTATAGAATTCAGTAGGATACTGAATTGGATGCTCTCTAAGGCAGCTTAGAGAGTATCTATACCTCAGTATAGTGACACACTGAACAGGTGTATAGTA